TAATATATTTTCTTCTTTTTTCTCTCTCTTTCTTCTCTCTTTCTTTATTTCTTTCTTTTTATTACTTCTAATAAGAATCTCGTTGCGCTTTGTTCAACCTCGAGAAAAGCATATGTTGCTCGAGAAATTTTTGCGCGTGTTCCAGATTATATACGAGCTCCGCACTTTTAATTTTTTTTTTTCGCGCTTCTTTTATTATTTTTCTCTCTTCTTTATTACTTTTTTTCCATCTTTTCTTTCCGTCCTTTCTTTTTTTATTACCTTTTCATATTTTTTGTTATCAGTAATTATTTATTACAATACACCAATTAATTTTTATTCGCATTTTAATTGCATACGATACACGAACATTAAATTTTTCTTTTCTCTCGAAATTTTCTTCGCTCGCGAAATAAAATTTTTAATAAATCTATCTATATTTCTCTCTCTCTCTCTCTCTCTCTCTTCTCTTTCTCTGTTTCTTCCATTCTGTACTCTTTCATTTTTCGTTGGTTTCTTCAGACAATTTACTTATTTTTCATCGTTTAATTTCGCTTCGTATTCTGTCGTTCGTTGCAATGTTGTCCGTATCAGAGCTTACGCCTCGTAATGTATTTATAGATCGCTTCGTTGTTTTTTATCGATCATCAACCACAAATCGCCAAGAAAAAACCTAAAAATATTCGTCGATGTTTCGTTTAAATTTAAAATTTCGTTGAAAAAAGAATCGAATTTGAAAAAAATTACAAAAAAAAAAAAAAGAAAATCACTGTTTATCGATTGCAAAAGGTTCGTGGTTGTTGACGATGTACACGATCAATTTTCACGTAAACTTACCCCCTCTGGCGAAACCCTCTCCGTTAAATAAGAGAGGATCAGCGATCGAATGACGATCGTAATCGATCGCGATCCGATCGCGATGGCTATTGCTTCACAGTTTCGAATCACGCGCGCATTTTTCGAAATTTTTCAAATTCAATTCGAATCGTCGAATACACGACGAAACGCCACATCGACGATCATCGTCCACGTTTCGTTCCATTCTCTCTTATGTGATGAAAATAATCTTGCCTCGTCAAAAATCAATCGATATGATTGGCAATGAAACGATTATTATTCGAGACAACTCTTCTCAATTATTTTCAATAATTTTAGTGGATTTTTAGCAGATTATCGATGATATGCGCCCGTGTTTCGTAGCAAAACATCATTGACGAAATTCTATAACTCTAATCTCCGTATCGTCAGGACCTGCATTGATAAGAGATAACGAAAATACGATAAAGAAACGATAGAAGAGATCGATTTCCTTCGATTTCTGTGACGAAAAAAAATAGAAGAGAACAATTGTGGCACTGTGGTTGTGCTTAGAAAATCTTAATGATACGATGTAAATATATATATATATATTTCAAGAAAGATGAGAAGATGAAGGATATATAAAAGTGAATGAAATACCATTTTATGGTACTGCGTTTACGGAGCGTTAGATATGTGTAAACTCTGAGCTTGCGCCGATGATGCATGTTGTGCTTAAGCGACTACCGAGGTGATGGTGTTCAAGCGTCATCCCCTCGACGCTCTAGACGATGACACGAAAGTTTTGTCTTTTTTCGAATAGAGAAACCAAAAAAAAAAAAAAAAACTTAGTATACGCGATATTTTCGTGAATATTTTTCCTTTCTTTTTTTCTTTTTTCTTTTTTTTTCTTTTTCTTTTCTTTTTCTTTTTTTTTTTAATTTTAACATTACTTTCTTCGTCGGACAATACCTCCTCTCTTGGTTTTCAGAGTCGTACGTCGAAATTGCTAAGAGCACAGTAGATTTGCTTTAATATACACAGGCTAACTTTTCTACGCTATTTCAGTCTTAGGATGCGAATATATCTGAGAGTAAAATTCTTGAGAATTACTTTCGAGAGTTATTTATTATATTTTTTTTTTTCTTGTCACTTAATAATGGATACTTAACGCAGTGTCCAAAATAAATTGTGAAAAATACTCTCTCAAGAGCAGTGCTGTTTAGGAGCTGTTCCTGTAGAGAACGTTCGGGCAACATCGGGTAAAGTCGGATAAAATCGTATAACATCGGACATTTTCGGCAATGCAATAGACAATGCAATAATCAGAGCCAGTAGAGGCTAAAATCTTAAAAATCCAACTTTGCTCTCATTTCTATTGCTATCCATTACTCTTAGTATTGCTTGTGGGTATCGTTGCCAGGAGAATTTCATCACAGATTTTGTCACAATGGGTGAACAGCACTGCTCAAGACTCCGTAGAATGTTTTACTCTTAAATGTATTTACTTATCTTATCTTTCTTTCGTCGTTTCTTCCATTCTCTTCTTTTTGTTTCATTTTTATTTTTTTCTTTTTAACGTATACTCCTATTCGATCCATTCGATTCTTCGTAATATTTTTCGAATAATATGTTTTCTATTTTTTTTTTTTTTTTTATTTTCGCGTTTTTTCTTTACGATAAAACCAAAAGACAGACGGACATTGTTTCACATGTATATCTTGCACTTGAGCTTGCGACATGTTCCTCAATCCCTCTCTGTAAATGGCAAAAACGAATTTTCTCCGCCACTATTTACACGCCGAGACTTATACATCTGGTTAATTACACCATGAGTCCCGCTGTTTCGTGAGCACATTTTTTTCTCTCTCTCTCTTTCTCTATCTCTTTATTTCTTTTCTTTATCCCTCTGTCACATTCGATATATATATATATATTATACACGCAATATATATATTTATACTCGTATAACAAAACAAGTCTTATTCGCATTCGTACCCGCTCTCTCTCTCTTTCTATATATATATCTCGACAACAAACCTTTTCTTTATACCAGCTTCTCAGCTTTTGCATCTGAAACTTTGTGCAGCTTCTATCTATCTTTTCTTCTATTCTTCTTCTTCTTCTTCTTCTTCTTCTAACTTTAATCTTTCAATACACTTGAGTAAAGAGTAAAGAAATAAATAAATAAATAAAAGAAAAACAAAAAAGAAAGAAAGAAACTTTCTCCCCTTTCGTTTCGCCTCTTCTATCTGATGATTAATCACCGTGCAATCCATGTTTGGCATTTCAAGCTCGAAACTTTATTTTTTTTTTCTTTTATTATCGCGATTCTCCCCTTCTCTCTCTCTCTCTCTCTCTTTTATTTACTTTTTTCCAACCAGTCAGGTAGCTTTCATTCGAACGAAAATCCGATTCCTCCTAAGAAAATCTCAGCATTCCGTTGTTCAGAGATCTTCCTCTTAAGATTGTATACAGATATACAGATATACACGGCAGATTAGCCGTGATAAGCTCGATCGAGATTCATAACTGTGTCAAGAAATAAATAGAATAATAACGAAACGACGAATGAACGTATATTTCTTTTTTTTTTATTTCTTCTTCTTTCCTTTTCACCCACTATTTTTTTCTCTATTCCACTCTTTTTCTCTGTCGCTGTCTGTCTCTAATTACTCTCTGTTTGCTCGAAAGCTTATTCCTCAAAATAGGAGAACCGAGAAGTAAAAGAGAAAGAAAAGCTTATCGTCCATGTTTGCGTTCGGCGTTATGCGTTTCTAATGGATCATTTTTTTTTTTTTCGACTCTGAATCGAAGCAGGATCAACGATTTCTCTCGATTTAATTGGCAACATGGTGTGTTTCCATGTTATTACGCAAGAAATTTGCCTGGTCTTTCTGACACGCTTCTCCTCGATTTTCGTAGAAACAGGGATTGCGAAGGAGACGAATGTTTGAAATGTTTGAAAGGAAAAAAGAAAAAAAAAAAAAAACGAAAATAGAGCGAAACAGCCGAAACGAGAAATTAAATTAACAAAAAAAAAAAGTATATATATATATATATATATATAATAAACAAAAGAAAAAAGAAAAGAAAAGGAACAAGAAAACGAAGTAATTTTACTAGTTACTACC